TTGTGACAGAACCAACTAGAGGAAACAATTTCCTTGACTTGGGTCTTGCCAACAAAGAATCACTAGTTAATAATCTTGAGGTTAGTGTTGAGCTAGGGGAAAGCGATCACAAATCACTTAGTTTCAATATATCATGGAATTACCCAAATAACTGCAGTCAAATCGCTGTTCAAGATTTCTGCTTGGCCGACTTCATGGGCATGAGAAATTACCTGGGTGGGCTAAATTGGGACGGCCTCATTATGTGTCAGGTAGGTAGGGTTGGTTGCCAATATGACGTATTTCAGAGCATAGTGCTGGCTGCCCAGACGACTTTTGTCCCGAGAAGGAAAATTAGTTCTAACAAAAATTATCCAAATTGGATAAACAATAGATTAAAACATCTCAATGGTCAAAAAAGAGGCATATAGAGGTGTATCAAACAAGAGGAAGGGCAGTTAAGATATCAATATATTCAATTAAAGAGATAAATAAAAAAAGAATAAGAAAAACAAAAAGGGATTATGAGGCTAAAGTCACAAGGGATTCGAAGACTAACCCAAAAGGGTTCTTTCAGGTATACAGAAGTAAGATTATGAGCAAGATTGGCCAACTTAAGAGTAACTCAGGTCAGATCACTGACAGTGATAAGGATATATGTGAAATTTTCAATACCTACTTCCTCTCAGTTTTTACTCAGGAAAATACTAGCGAAATTCCAGAAATAATAAATTATGTAGAAGAGAACGATAATAAACTATGCACGATTGCAGTAACTAGTGACATGGTCCTCAGACAAATAGAGAAATTAAAACCTAACAAATCCCCAGGCCCTGATGAACTGTTTGCAAGGGTGTTAAAGTAATGTAAAGAGGAACTTAGCATACCTTTGGCTACTCTTTTCAATATATCACTACAAAGTGGCATAGTGCCTGACAAGTGAAAAATGGCAAATGTAATACCTATTTACAAGGCAGGTGACAGGTCTTTAGCTTCGAACTATAGACCAATAAGCCTTACCTCCATAGTTGGTAAATTTATGGAATCAATAATTGCGGAAAAAATTCGTAGCATCTTGAAAGGCATAAATTGATTAATGAATCTCAGCACGGTTTTACAAATGGGCGTTCCTGTCCTACGAATTTACTAACTTTCTTCACACTAAGGTATTTGAGGAGGTAGAGCATGGTACAGACTATGATATTGTGTATATGGACTTCAGTAAGGCTTTCGATAGAGTTCCACATCAGAGGCTGTTGAGAAAACTCAAGGCACATGGAACAGGAGGGGAATTTTTTTCCTGGGTAGAGGCATGGTTGACAAATAGGCAGCAGAGAGTTTGCATGAATGGGGAGAAATCAGAATGGGGGCACGTCACAAGCGGTGTTCCACAGGGGTCAGTGTTGGGCCCGTTGCTGTTCACAATCTACATAAACGACATGGGTGAGGAAATAAATAGCGACATAAGCAAATTTGCTGATGACACCAAAATAGGCCAATTCATTCTAATGAGGACATTAGAGCACTCCAGGATGATTTGAATAGTTTGATGCAGTGGTCGGAGAAGTGGCAGATGCAGATTAATATAGACAAACGCGATGTTCTAAATGTTGGACAGGAAAATAACCATGACACATATAAACTAAATAATGTAGTTCTTGATATTACGGATTGCGAAAAGGATTTAAGAGTTCTGGTTAGCAGTAATCTGAAACCAAGACAACAGTGCATAAGTGTTCGCAATAAGGTTAACAGAATCATTGGCTTCATAACAAGAAATATAAATAATAGAAGTCCTCAGGTTGTCCTTCAAGTCTCTATATCTTTGGTTGGGCCTCATTTAGATTATGCTGCGCAGTTCTGGTCACCGTATTACAGAATGAATATAAATGCACTGGAAAACGTACAAAGGAGGATGACAAAGTTGATCCCATGTATCAGAAATCTTTTTCCCTTCGAGGATAGACTGAGGGCCCTGAATCTGCACTCTCTAGAAAGGTGTAGAATTAGGGGGGATATGATTGAGGTGCATAAATTGAAAACAGAAATCAATACAGGGGATGCAAATAGTGTGCTTAAAATGTCTAACATGGGTAGGACTTGCAGCCATGGTTTTAAATTTGAAAAATTCAGATTCAAGAGGGATATAGGAAAGCACTGGTTTGGTAACAGTTGTGGATGAGTGGAACAAGCTCCCGAGTACCGTCATAGAAGCTAAGACGATGTGTAGTTTTAAAAATAGGTTGGATAAATACACGAGTGGGTGTGGGTGGGTGTGAGTTGGACCCGACTAGCTTGTGCTACTAGGTCGGATGCCGTGCTCCTCTGTTAAGTGACGTGTCTGACCTCACTAGGTCAAGGCATTGGCTTAAGCCGCTGGGAGAATTGGACCTACCTCGCATTGGCCAGTAGACGGGTTGCAGTGTACCTTCTTACTTATGTTCTTATAAGAGAAAATTTTAGAAAGGACTTAATTTTAAATGAGTTCTTGCTAATTGACCAGTTTTACCTATTCGGCATGACATATATTTATGTGTATGTATCATAGTCGTGAATTCAATCACTAAAAACTTTTTACCGTAGCTCCTTTAATGTTCCCTCACCAACATATTGGAGGGATTTGTCTGTGCTTATAGTAGGTTTTAAAATGGCCCTTTTTAGGATCTTTTAACTCTTACAATTTTTGCCATAACTTACATAGTTTTTCAAATGAATTTTTGTTACAGTCCAAACATTCACTGATCTTACTTACAAGAGACAGGAAGCCTCTCTCTCCTAAGTTTAGAACTACATTCCTTCACACCTCTCCTCCTTATTCAGCCCAAGGAGTTGCGAGCCTTTAATTGGGTCCCTGAAGAGGACAAAAACTACTATTGACTAGTTCCCATAATTTATTTCATGCTCTGTTACAGTGCTCAATGAAGTATTAAAACGTGTGTCCCGTCCGGGTTATAAGAATGACAACAGGATGTGCTTATGAATAATTTACAATACTTAATACTTAGCAAGTTATGGTTGCATTTAGACAAGTTAAAGTAACTATGATTTACTTACAAAAGGAAAAGTCAAATAATTTTTCTAGAAATGCTGGTTATATACCACATATGAACATTTGTGAGTGACATGCCTCTGAAATCATGAGTTTTCCTTATTCAAACAATTAATAACAACGTGTAACAATAATTTCTCTGGTTAATTTTACTTTTAATTATGTTTACATCAGCTGGTGGTGAAAACTCAGAGGTGTCTTTAATCCAGCCGTAATGTGGCAGTAGAGACATCCAGGAGACTGTTGATTTTAATGAATGTACAACAGATATATGGATCTTCCTGTATTATAGAATGATGATAGGTGGACTGATTGTCACACTGTCTCAAGTCAAAGAAGCTCAATTGATATTCTTAGCATTCTTGTCCTCAAGCTACTAGTTGACGGCCTAAAACTGCAGTCTACTTCCTTCTTGAAGGCAGAACACTGTCACGCATTTCATAACTAATGTGAGAGGGAATCCACAAAAGTTGTTCTCTATCTCACCTGTCTACATTTCTACACTACCCGTTTATGGCTTCTGTTACAAACATGTCACAGTTAATACTCTTGGAGTTAACAGCAATAATAGATGATGGAGACTCATAATTAAGCTCTCAACCTTACTGGGACACACTAGAATATATGGAGCGTACTTAACAGTTCAGTTGGAAAGGCAGAAGCCTTGAATAGTAGGGCATCTAAAGATAAAAGGAAGGCGATAAAGATAATTTATAAGAAGAAAAGTACAACTAAAACAATTTTTAACTTAATTCATGTTAAGTGCTAAATTCATGTGCGTCATTCTGTGCAAAACGTGGTGGAGGCTCGATCCTCCCTCTGCTGAGTCAGACACACTTCCCATTTGCACACACCTATACCACTTATTTAAATAAACACAGGTCACGTTATAAAGAGTGGATTACAGATAAAGAGTCTGGTATAGAGAACCTCAGTGAGCATCAGAAGTGCCCTTACATTGTAGAAAATATCAGGGTAGGGATAAACAGACTGTAAATGAACGTAGTCAGAGATAGGTAAGTCAGTAACCTAGCGGAGTTTAGTTTCTTGGAGATATGCATGTAAGAATAAGCTGGAAGATCAGTGTATTTTTCATTTTACTTTGGCATTTAAATATGATAATCGTATACAATACTGAGAAGTTGATAAATAAGACACATGTGCAACAGTTAGGTAACTTTATTCCGAAACGTTTCGCCTACACAGTAGGCTTCTTCAGTCAAGTAGAGAGGAGGCAGCAGAAGCAGTAGAGATGTAGAGACGATGTAATCTGTCCTTCACCCTTGTAGACGTAGTTTTGAGGTGGTCAGTCCCTAACCCTCTTCTCCAGGCTGAAGGACTGACCACCTCATAACTACGTCTTCAAGGGTGATGGACTCGTGATATTGTCTTTACATCTCTACTGCTTCTGCTCCCTCCTCTGTACTCGACTGAAGAAGCCTACTGTGGAGACGGAACGTTTCGGAATACACTTACCTAACTGTTCACATGTGTCTCACTTATAATCTGTGATGTTTATTTACAGTTTGGCGGAGAATTTTTTTTCTGACTACCATATAATGAAAGAAGAAAATTATCATAACTGAATAGACTTGGAAAACAGAAACGTGCATACTTAGAATCTCAGGTCCCATGTCTACCTCATGTTCTCGCCATACCTTGTATCTCAGGTCCCAGGTTTACCATATCTTGAATCTCAGGACTCAGATTTACCTCATGTCCCGGCCATATCTTGAATCTCAGGTCCCAGATCTACGATACCTTCAATCTCAGGTCCCAGGTTTACCTCATGTAAACGCCATATTTTGAATCCCAGGTCTACCTCATGTCCCCGCCATGCCTTGAATCTCAGGTCCCAGGTTTACCTCATGTCACCGCCATACCTTGAATCTCAGGTCCCAGGTTTACCTAGTGTCATCGCCTTACCTTGAATCTCTGATCCCTGGTCTGCTGATTCATGTCCTCGCCTTACCTTGAATCTCAGGTCTCCAACCGGAGGCTGGGCAAAAGGGATGGACCTGTAGGCGTAGAAGGCAGCTCCATTAAGAGAGTGTTCCTTGAGGCCAGAGATCCTGCCTTCCTCAGTGTTCACTACCGGCAGTACTGCCTCCTGCCCCAACACTGCCGCCACCAACACCACAACCATTACAGCCACTCTCATCGTTACTGCTTCACCTGAGGACAGAGAGACAGTATTAGTGGAATTTTATATGCATATGCCTAAATCTCCCATTACAGGCAAGTAAATATTAATTATTTATTATCTTTTGTTGCATGCCTGTTATAGGTGAGTTACCCTTCGTAAGTTAGAAAAAACCCTTAGACTATAAATCCTAGCTTTTCAGAAGATTTAGGTCTTATTAAAATTACCGGGAGGGCTTAAATCACCATTAAATAATAGAACTGTTACAATAATTTTAGGATATTATTGTTAGGTTGATACAATGAGAGAACGATATCAATAGTAAATAACGAAACATTATTGGAACCCATTATTATTATTATTATTATTATTATTATTATTATTATTATTAGGAGGAGGAGGAACGCTAAAGCCGTAAAGATTATACAGCGCCTGTGAGGATGGAAGGTGGGGGGTTGGAAGGCATGCAGGCTCAGTTCAGGGAGCCGGAGCAGAGATCCAATTCCCTTGATCAAAAGCCCTTCACTAGCATCAAGGAACCTACATCAATTGATGGGCTACTGGAACCCACCTGGTGGTGACCCGCTGATTGCGAATGAATATTGTTTTCTGAGGTTCCATTAAGTTTCTTTAGGTATTAATACAAATAGAGTTACACAAATCACTGGTCAACATTTATTTTCTGGTCAATTATATTACACCGATTTTAGGGTAAATTTGTGGTGCTGATTCCTAATATGTCATCGGTTTTGCTTGATTTGCTCTAGTTTTTGATAAATTTGGTATCCCATTGGAAAACATAAATTATGTGATAAATGTATTTATCAGGCGGGACTAACTTACAAATCGCAATAAAATTATTTTTTAGATCATGCAAAAGTCAAATCATGTAATACATATTGGAACTTCATTCTATATAAGAACAGATTAATATCAATAAATATCAATAAATAATTATAAATATCAATAAATAATTCAGATACCACTAATTACTGCATATACGAATTTTTTCTTTGCTGGTGATCAGTTTTGTTGTGTGAGCAATTGGAAGAGATGCATATTGGTTACCATTGTGCAATAAGACACATTTCAAGCTTCTAATGGAGTTGTCTATAAAGAGCCGCCAATCTCCTGATCGATATTCAAGTCCCATTCGAAGAAGTCCAGGGATGTTATTGCAATATACAAGTTCTCCATCTTGGCTAAAGTAAGGAAGAAATTCAACCTATCTTGTCCGATAAGCTGTTCTTTTAATTTCTTGTTGTAGACACTTCTTTTCTTTTAGTTTGGATACTAAAAGTTCAGATACTGTACCTGGTTTGACAGACTTAGGTCACGTGTCAGATCACTGAGTTCTTCTTGGTAGAACTGTTGTGGTGTTTAAATACTTCATATTCACTTCCACTGTTATCACCAATGTTACATTCTAAACCCTGAGTTTCTTCAACATCTGACAATGGAAGGTCAGTCAGTGTTGTAAACACTGGTATGGGAACATCTTCACTGTGTGGCACAGGTCTCTTTGATGACTCTAAATCAGGATATTCCCACTTTACTTTCTTGTGTTGATTGAAATCTTTCACATTCACCAAACAGAAATAGCAATCGTCGAGGCGGTTTTTCGGCTCTCTCCACACCATAGGAACACCGAAGTTTAAACTTGTTCCTTTGCCTATTTTTCCACTGTCGTAAGTATTCTACACAGGTTTTACAAACCATATAGAGAGCCCAAGACCTGTCTTGTTCTCCAGGCGTCACTCTCACAAAAAAGCAAGATAAGCTTGTTTTACAAAATCTGTGATTTTTTTTTTACGGTGCCCCGTGGCCTGGTGGCAAAAGCTCTTGCTTCACACGCGGAGTGTCCGGGTTCGATTCACGGAGTGGGAACATTGGATGTGTTTCCTTACACCGGTTGTCTATGTTCACCCATCAGTAAAATGGGTACCTGGGTGTTAGTGGACTGGTGTGGATCGCATCCCGGGACAAAACTGACCTAATTTGCCCGAAATGCTCAGCATAACAGCGGCTTTTTATATAGTATTATGTCATTGATGCCAGCTAGGTCTGTATACCTTGTACATGTACTTGTAGTAAATATTATTATTATTATTATTAAAGAGTATTTGCCACAAATCTAACAAAATGCATTAGAATTGCTTAAGCAGATTCATGTTTATCTGGAAAAATAACAAAATAAAGGCTACAATATTGTCACGTGGTCGCTGGTGATACAACTCAAATCGTTAATTATTAAATCATTTAAAAATATAATTCTAAACTTTATTAATTAAAACTATCTGCATATACAAATTGTCATTACATATACATATATACACGTTGTTTAAGTTCCTTGTTAACTGAGGGCAGGTATGCAATATCTCACAGACTAGAGCCAATTTGAGAATTCAGCAACCCCATAATACCCAAAATACTTTCAAATATCTTTGGAAACGAAATGTTTTTTGTTGACCAGTGAACTAAATTTTATTGTACATAGTAACATGTGTAAATTAATTAGGATAACCCTAAAAAAAGTCAAAGTGACTTATTTCCACTGTTGTGAATTCCTGATTCAGCCACCATAATTGTTGACCTCCAGAGACCCTCCGAGTCACTCAGTCTGTGGCCCCAGTGTCATGAATGGTTCAATTGGAGCAGAGCTTTAAAGAGTTGAGAGACTCATACAAGCGACAACACTGGCCTTGAGATACCAGATATTTAACCTTGACTGTTGCTGCACCAGCATCTCTGCTACTCCCTACGAGCTGTCTGAGTGGGGAAGGTAACAGACAAGTCTGTTGATAAACAAAGCATTAAAGACGGAACACCACAAGCAAGGCTCTCATGTAGCAACAAGTAGGTACAGTAATTTCAAAAAGGTAATTACATACATATATATCTTACTATAATCTTGTTGGTTTAACGCTTAGTTCTGATTTTAATAATAATAATAATAAAAGGTATGCTAATTGTATTCACCTAAATGTCTAACTGTACTTACTTGTTCCTGTACTCAGATAAACTTAGTTACACACTGTGGCACCACACGACGTCAAAACTTCATGCACAAACGCTACATTATATAATAATTTCATAAAATACCTATTATTTCTGACAATTATTTTCTGGCATCCTTTTTTACAATAGAATAGGATCCCGGTATGTGCTGGGGATACGTGACAAGACCTGCCGCGGATACTGAAAACCGAGGATAGTAGCGAACCCTATATTTAAGTCATTTTTCGTTTACATACATACCTATGATATTGGGTTTTGGAGGGGTGTTGGGATGGAAGTTGGAAGAAGCGAGGTGGTATGATGACTATGCGGGTGGCAGTGTTGGTGACCCAGTGTGATTACTAGTATGGATGATGGGTGACTGACCAGGTGTGTGTACAGTTGGTGTGGGCAGTAATTAGGGTGCCTGGCGGCTACATGACTAGGAGTGTAGACGGAATTTTAGAGTGTGTGGGCCTTGAAAACATGGGTAAGCTGTAGGAGTGGGGGCCATATGGGCCTGAAACTCTGGGAGAGTGGTGAGTGAAAGCATGAGTAAGGTATGGGGCCATGTGGGCTTGAAGCTGTGGATGAGTGGTGTGAGTGAAAGGTGTGTTTGCCAGTGGCCTGGTGGGGGTGGTGTTTGGATGATGGGTGGCTGGGTGGGCAATTATGCAGCTGCTGGAAATTGTGGAAAATCATATAAGCTTTTGATTTCCCAGACCGATAAAATCTCCCTATGTCGGGGAATGGTGGGCACGAGCATCCCCCACATATGCCTCTCCGGGGGGTACCATATTCTTCATACACTCTTAATTTGTAAGACTTAATCTAGTAATGAAGCCTCCATAGGCTAATGTATTATGATGTATTTAAGCTTAGTATCTTCATCACCTCTCACAACCACACAACTGTGAGCAGTAGGCACTCCTCCAGCCAGCGCCCTCCTGCTGCGGAATTCACAGCTCAGTTAAGTAAGATGGATAAATATCTGGATAGGCTAGAAAATCCTACACCAAATATTTTACTCCTTGGAGATTTTAATCTCCCTCATGTAAAATGGAAGATAGCGCAACGTAATGTTATACCAGAAATATCTCCGGGAAGCACCCTGGCTCAACAGGTACATGCCAGGGAAATAATGAGGTTTTGTGAAAAGTGCTCTTTAAACCAACAGGTAATTGATCCCACTAGAAATGAAAATACCCTGAATTTGATATTCACAAACAACGAGGAACTGATCAGAGACATAACAGTTTCCAAAACTATTTACTCTGATTATAACATCATAGAGGTTCAAACTAGTATTAACTCAGGGGTAGGAAACTGCATCGCTAAAGTTAGAGACAGGATGTTAAGTAAGTTTAATTTTAACAACCTAACTGGGAAAAAATAAACCAAGAGCTATCAGACATACCCTGGGAATCAGACATGAGCACCCTAAATCCCCACCAGTGCCTAGAGAAGCTGAATACAGAAGCATACAAAGTATGTATGAAACATGTACCATTGAGGAAACCCAGACACAGATCAGATATAGAGAGAGAGCGTAGGAGATGGTAAAGAAGAAAACGGGTTACTGAACTGCTTAAAAACACAAATATGCTACAACAGAGGAAAGATAGACTTAGCAGAGAGATCACTGAATTAGAGCAAAAACTTACCTCACAGAAGAAGTACAAAGGGAACAAAAGGCCATACAGGATATTGCAAGAAACCCAAAATATTTCTATTCCTACACAAAATCCAAGCTAAGAACTACCTGTAAAACTGGATCACTACTGAGAGGAGATTCGTATACTGACGACGAACAGGAAATAAGTGAAATCCTAAAAGAACAGTATGAGTCGGTATTCACCAACCCACTAAATGAGAGCAAGGTAGAAAATGCAGAAATATTTTTCACTCCAGAAGAAGGCTGCACAGACCAACAAACTGACATTGGTACAAATCCCATAGATTTCGAAAAAGAAATGGAAAACATGCCCACTCACTCAGCACCTGGACCAGATTCATGGAATGCTCTATTTATAAA